GGGGAGGATGCTCTGCATGTTTGCGGGACCTTGGCAAATCCCCAGGAAGGAAGCCAGGGCATTGTGACCATGGACAACCCTTAAATGTCGCAAAACCTGGGGAGCAGGTTTGCAGAGTTGGGTGGAAAATGGACTGAGAAGAAGGCTGGAGGTGGAGCCTGGGAGGAGAGCCTACCTACAGTCTGGACAGGAGGATCTTTACTGTTCCACCGTCTCTTAGGGATGACATCCAGAGCAGCAGGGAAGGAGCCAGCCCAGCAAAAGGCCTTAAAGCAGCTACCAACCCACCACACTGACAGTTGGGACAGTAAGAATTCCCCTTTACCCCCTGGGCCAAATAAAGGTGCAAGACCCAACTAGTTCTCATCTGGGACTACTTAATTGGCAGATCTTGGAATACCTTTCCCAGGGATACCCTCAGTGCAGGAAGGATTCATCTGGGGTCTGGGGAGGTACATCAAGGGGTCTTCAGTGCTATTTTTGCTGATTCACAGTTATGTACAATATTGTTGCTAAGAAGTTTGTCCTTAAAGTTCTACAGTTCCTTGGCCATCCCATATTCCCCTAGAATCAATCCAAGCTGTTAACCCATCAATAAAAACAACTAAAAACCAGCTCAAGGACTGTTTTACTGACTCTCTGTGCAAAGAAGAGGAAAATGCATGTTGCCTGGCTGTGCAGAGCTTGAATGGACCCAAACAAATCCAGCAACCCTCATGAGGGTAGTACTACATTCATCTAAATGGCAATGATGTCACTGGTCTTCTCATAAGATCCTTTAAAAGCTGGGAATCTCTCTAATCCTGCACTCCTGCATAGTGCTAAATCATCTTCCTGGGAGATTTTTGATTCTCACGTTTCCCAGAATCCCATGGTGAGGGGCAATGGTGTCATTGGTGTTTGCAGGAAGCTGCTGGAATCTGAGATTTAAGGTTTTTTTTTTTAAGTTTCTTCTGATGTTATCAGGTCTCGCCAGGTGCTCAGAGACATATTAAGGGTTCGTTCATGCTTATGAATTGTGGTAATGGATGCTAAAAACATTTGCATTCCTGCACATTGCCGCAATGAACAGCAATGCACCTGCTCTGGTTGTGGTGTCATTCATCATGATTGGCTTTCAACGCATTGTACAGTGGAGCACAATGCCCGCAGTGCATTATAACACATATACCATGCGTTGTGTTACGCTGCATTGTAATAAAGAGGTCAAACATGTATTTCCATCCATTATAACAAGTTGGTAGCCCATTTGTTATGAATGAAATGCCTTAACACAACACACAATAATGCATGTTAACGCAGGAACATTATTGCACTGCAATGGAATAATTAAAGCTGAAAATTTGTAAAAAAAAAAAAATGTGATACAGCACTTTATACCCTTCACAGTCTATGCATAGTACACAGCCCATGGATAGTACACAACATGGATAGTACACAGCCTATGGATAGTACACAACCTATGGATAGTAGTACACAGCCTATGGATAGTACACAGCCTATGGATAGTACACAGCCCATGGATAGTACACACAGCCTATGGATAGTACACAGCCCATGGATAGTACACAGCCTATATGGATAGTACACAACCTATGGATAGTACACAGCCTATGGATAGTACACAGCCTATGGATAGTACACAGCCCATGGATAGTACACAACCCATGGATAGTACACAGCAGCCTATGGATAGTACACAGCCCATGGATAGTACACAACCCATGGATAGTACACAGCTTATGGATAGTACACAGCCTATGGATAGTACACAGCCTATGGATAGTACACAGCCTATGGATAGTACACAGCCTATGGATAGTACACAGCCTATGGATAGTACACAGCCTATGGATAGTACATGGATAGTACACAGCCTATGGATAGTACACAGCCTATGGATAGTACACAGCCTATGGATAGTACACAGCCTATGGATAGTACACAGCCTATGGATAGTACACAGCCTATGGATAGTACACAGCCCATGGATAGTACACAGCCCATGGATAGTACACAGCCTATGGATAGTACACAGCCCATGGATAGTACACAGCCCATGGATAGTACACAGCCCATGGATAGTACACAGCCCATGGATAGTACACAGCCCATGGATAGTACACAACCCATGGATAGTACACAGCCCATGGATAGTACACACACCCATGGATAGTACACAGCCTATGGATAGTACACAGCCTATGGATAGTACACAGCCTATGGATAGTACACAGCCTATGGATAGTACACAGCCTATGGATAGTACACAGCCTATGGATAGTACACAGCCTATGGATAGGATAGTACACAACCCATGGATAGTACACAGCCTATGGATAGTACACAGCCCATGGATAGTACACAGCCCATATGGATAGTACACAGCCTATGGATAGTACACAGCCCATGGATAGTACACAGCCTAGCCCCTATGGATAGTACACAACCTATGGATAGTACACAGCCTATGGATAGTACACAGCCTATGGATAGTATCCTGAGAGTTTGTCTTCCAGCACTGTGTAAGGTTAACAGAAGATGCTGCTGCTGAGTAAAAGTCATTTACCAATCACACCCATGCCTCTTCCTTTTATCTGCACCATTTATAATACACTATGGGAGTGTTTGGATAAAACGGTGCAGGAGGCAGGAAGGGGCAGACAAGTGGCTCAACTTTTCTCAGTTGCAGCGGCTTCCATTCAGGGCAGCATTCAGAGGCTGTGAAGCCCACATGGAAGAACAATATATTTACATATATTTTTAAAATATTCTTCCCAAATATATTGACATATATTTGAAATATTACAATTGTGTCTGTATTCCATATATTTAAAATAAATAAATATATATTTTTAATATATATATATATATATGGATATATATATATATATATATACTGTATGTTGAAATGTGTTTTTTATATATTACCAAAAAAGATATATTTTTTAAAATATAGACTTCAGATTTATTGTAACATATCAAAAAGTAATTTTAAAATATATTTTTACATATATCTGTAAATGCGTTACAAAAATGTAGATTAAATGTATTTAAAATCTATTTTTAAAATATTTGAATGTATTTTGTAATATATAAAAACGAATTTCAACATACAGTATATATATACTGTAATATACAATTACTATATGTTGAAATTCATATTATATATATATATATATATATATATATATATATAAATATATTCTATACTATATGTTGAAATAAATTTTTTATATATTACAAAATTATTATTATACAGGATTTATATGGCGCCAACAGTTTGCGCAGCGCTTTACAATATAAGGGAGACAATACAATAACAATACATTTCAGTACAGAAGGAATAGGAGCTCATGCAGCTTACAATTTAATATATTCAAATGTATGTCAATATATTTGGGTAGAATATTTTAATATATATATACTGTATGTTGAAATTTGTTTTTTATATATTACAAAATATATTCAAATGTATATATATATTCAATATATTTATAAATATATAATATAATACAAATTAATACGAAAATCAACATATAGTAATCTATCTATAATATAGATAGATAGATAATAGATAGATAGATATAGATAGATAGATAGATAGATAGATAGATAGATAGATAGATAGATAGATAGATAATAGATAGATAGATAGATAGATAGATAGATAGATAGATAGATAGATAGATAGATAGATAGATAGATAGATAGATGATAGATAATAGATAGATATAGATAGATAGATAGATAGATAGATAGATAGATAGATAGATAGATAGATAGATAGATAGATAGATAGATAGATAGATAGATAGATAGATAGATAGATAGATAGATAGATAGATAGATAGATAGATAGATAGATAATAGATAGATAGATAATAGATAGATAGATAGATAGATAGATAGATAATAGATAGATAGATATAATAGATAGATAGATAGATAGATAGATTTAGATAGATAGATAGATCACACCAGATAGATAGATGATCAGATAGATAAAGATAGATAGATAGATAGATAGATTTAAAGATAGATAGATAGATAGATAGATAGATAATAGATAGATAGACAGAGATAGATAATGATACCGTAGATATACTGTATGTTGAAATCTTCAGTTTTTTATTTTATTGATGCACTAAAACACAGAAAAACAACTGATGGCCCAGGGGGTGCTTCATGGTAAACACAGTGCCCTACATTCCCATTTATTTGTGGCTTATGTACACTGGGTGCTTGATGTGGCTGGACTGTAGCCTTTCCACCAGGTCACACCAGAGGTGCTGTGAAGGCAAACACAGGACCTGGGCTGGTGATCACTGTCAACTCATAGTGATCTGCCAAAGTATTTTTTTTTTGTGCCAAATAATAATTGGAATTTTATTTAAAAAAATTCCTCTTCCTCTGCTGCTTACTGTAAAGTGAAGCAAGAGACTGACTGCTACACTGCTTGCAAGCACATTAAAGCTGAACTCCAGCCAAAAGTACAGAGATAGACCTAATGGCCCATTTAAAAGATACAACAACAAAAGCAGAATTTGCTTCTATATTTATCTTGACAATCCAGAAATTTTCCATGCAGTATTTTTCTCTGCACACTAGATGTGCTTATCTTTTGTAGAACATGAACTTATTGGCTTTTTGTGCCTATTTCTGCTCCATCCAGGTCACCTTGGACCCGCCCCTCCCTGCCCCTAGCCTGTGACTGGACAGTGAAAGGAGCAGCAGTACAGTGATGAACTAATTTCTCTGTCACTCTGCTCTCTTTTCCTTTCTCTTTTCCTATCCATGCTTCTTGTCATCACATGAAATTATTGGCTCTTTGTGCTGCTTCTCCCTCACCCAGTCTGAGTTCTGCTGTACAGGGACTGCAAGAGGCTGCTATCAGGCCAAATTCTTACTCTGCTTGTATTTAAAAAATACATTTAATGGTATATTAATGATTACAGGGCCATATTAATGTGTTTTTCTATATCTGCCTGGCAGTCAAGTATTGTTAACCACTTGCCGTCCGGCTGCTGTATATAAATGGCCAGACGGTGGCAGTCCAGGGGCGGGTTGCCATTCATAAATGGCACCCGCCATTCTGGACTGTGGGCGCTCCCTGGGAGCATGCAGCACCGCAATCCGGTGCCCGTTGTGTCCTCCAGACACAGTGGAACACCGATCATCATACAGGAACTCTGTGCGAGGTTCCGATCATGTGACCCCTGATTGGTCAATCGGTGATAATGTGACCACTGATTGGTCAATAGGTGATCACATGCAGAGTAGTAAGCAAGATGTCACTTCTGACATTATTGCTTACTACGTGTGAAATCTGTGAATGATCACAGAGATCACATGGTACAGGGCTATTCACAACAGCCTTGTACCATGTGACAAGCTGTGACCTATCACAGCTCACACAGTATTTCTCAATGGCTACAAGAATGCAGCCAGAGAGGAGGAGAGATGATTGCTTTTACACCTTTAAAGGCTGTAAAAGCAATCAGTGTTGAAAAAAAAAAAAAAATTCATCACCCCCCACAAGTAGTACAGTGTCACCATGGTGACACTGTACTGCTAGGGTGACAGTATGTAGAAAAAAAACCCATAAATAATAATATAAAAAAATAAAATAAAAATGTAAATATTTAAAAAATTATAATTTTTGGTTATAAACTAATGTGGGTTATTTTTTTTTACTAAAAAGATAACTGAATACATTTTGGCCAAGATTTATGATGAAATATTATTTATTTGCAAAATTTTATAAGAAAAACACTTTTTTTCAAAATGTTTGGACTTTTTCATTTATATAGCAAAAAAAATAAATAAAATCCCAGTGGTGAATAAATACCACCAAAATAAAGCTTTATCTGTCTCAAAAAAATGCTAAAAAATTCATTCGGGTACAGTGTTGCATGACCGCACAATAGTCATTCAAAGTGTGATAGCGCTGAAAGCTGAAAATTGGCCTGGACTGGAAGGGGGTGAAAGTGTCCGGACTGGAAGTGGTTAAAGAACACCTGTCATAAAGGGAAGTATGGGAGCTTCCTTCTGAAAATACTAGTTATCTGACTGTACATAGAAGAACAAAAGAGGGTGCACCGGCCTTGTGTATTAACCAAGACACCTTTTACATGACTGTAAAAAAATAATATGCTGAAAAAAACATCTAGAGATTCAAGCCCAATGGAAATTTCCAACAAATCAATCAGAACCAGAACTGGAAGTACACCTCCAGATGGACCGACATGATGTCCCAAGAGGTCTTCAGACATTTATGTTTTTTTCTGGCTCTAATGAAGGGAAGGGAACCCTTGAAACATGTAAGAGTCTTCAGAACTCTGGGACATTGTGCTGATCCATCTGGAGATGTGCCACCAGTTCTAGTACTGGTTGGTTTGTTGGAAATTTCCGCTGGGCTTGAAGATCTGCATGCCCAATGGAAATTTCCAACAAATCAACCAGAACCAGAACTGGAGGTACACCTCCAGATGGACCGACATGATGTCCCAGAGTTCTTCAGACATTTATGTTTTGTCTGGCTCTGATGAAGAGAAGGGAACCCTTGAAACATGTAAGAGTCTTCAGAACTCTTGGACATCGTGCTCATCCATCTGGAGATGTGCCACCAGTTATAGTACTGGTTGGTTTGTTGGAAATTTCCGCTGGGCTTGAAGATCTGCATGCCCAATGGAAATCTCCAACAAATCAACCAGAACCAGAACTGGAGGTACACCTCCAGATGGACCGACATGATGTCCCAGAGTTCTTCAGACATTTATGTTTTGTCTGGCTCTGATGAAGAGAAGGGAACCTTTGAAACATGTAAGAGTCTTCAGAACTCTGGGACATCATGCTGATCCATCTGGAGATGTGCCACCAGTTCTAATACTGGTTGGTTTGTTGGAAATTTCTATTGGGCTTGAAGCTCTGCATGGTTTATGAGTATATTACTTTTTATTGGTAAATAAAAGGAGTCTTGGTTAATGCACAAGTCCAGTGAGGTCTCTTTTGTTCTTCTACGTATTGTACTTATGGATCCCCCAGCCAGAGGTGGGCAGTAGGCCGAATGGATGCTGGAAGACCATAACCTGGGCTCTGTTCTGGAGATACCTGTAAATTAGAGAGAGCCTCCTCATAGGAACTGGTGCCATACCTTAGTGCAGAAGTGATTTTCTTATACATATTAGGTATCTGACTGTGTCTGGGTCTAATGATTTTGAGTCACAAGCCTGGACCAAGCTTGCTCTAAAAGAAAACTGGAGTCAAGCAGCATTAGCCTGTCAGCCAGGGAACTAGAATTCTCAAAAAGTCCAGCTCAGCAGTCTACAGAGCAATGAGAGGCATACCCGAAGCCCATTTCCAACCACAACTTTTAGTTTAGTTTTCAATGGAGTGTCAGAATTTCTGTTTTAATTGATATCTGTTCCCCCATTGGACAGGCACCCTCTCACCTCTTTTCCCAGTGACACCGGGACAAGAAATGAGAGGGAATGGGTGTCACAGGTGTAGAGAAGACAGAGAGAGCAATAAAACCTCCAGATGGACCAACATGATGTCTCAGATGTCCTACTAAATTAATGTGCATATGTTGCTGCCTCTGTCCCCATCAAAGACATATACCATCATTTCATGACACTGTCAGAAAGTAACGATGTCTTGAGCAGCCATTCTCAACTAGGGTTCCATGGAACATTAAGGTTCATCTTTGGGCTTCTAGGGATTCCTTGAGTTGTGGCTTCTTGATTTCCCCTATGAAGGCACCTGCATAATTCTGGGTCCAACACCACTTGCCAGAGCCAGTGTCATGACACCAGAGATGTTGTAGCTGTCTGCAAGTGTAGCATTTGGACCCCCCTGCCCCAACTATAAGGGGAGCATTTTCCCATTAGCCACCAATGTGTTGGTTTAGTAGGGTTTCTTTGAGACCTGGAAATTATTTTAATGGTTCATCTGGTGTAAAATTGTTGAGATTAAGGCTGGTCTAGAGACACAGATAGCAACAAAAACCTAACCTCCCTCTTCCTCTATAAAAAAATAATATGATTTTGGTTGCAGTTAGTGTAGACAGGTTCAGAAAAAAACATATCCCAGTCAAGTCTATCAATAGACCCCTAAGGCTACATTCACACGCCGCCCTTTAGAAGATGCATGGCAGTGCATCTCCACACATCTGCTAATGTATTTCTTTTTTTTTTTTCACCTGCCAAACATTTGGTACCACATCACTATATGGTTCAGTGTGGCACCGTTTTGCAAAAGGGTCATGGACTTCATTTGCACATTTCTCATGCATAGGGCAGCCCATTGAAATGAATGGCTGGCCTACACGCGACGAGCAGGAACATACACACGTTGTTGCATCTGCATGGTGTGAACACAGTCTTAAACCATAGATGATACAAAGGCAGAAAGGCATTCTAAAGCATGGTCAAATGTACTCCAACAGGGAAAACTCCTTTCTGGTCCCCTAAGGCATATGGATACTCCTTGGATCAATAATCTACAGCAGTGGTCTCCAAAACTGTGGCCCTTTTCTCTTTATACGGCCCCTGGGGCACTCTTCCTCCTACTGATATTATCAATGGAGCACTATTTCTCCTATTGTTACCAGCAATGGAGCACTATGCCTCCCATTGATACCAATGATGGGCACCCTTACACCCACTGACACCAGTGACAGGGCACTATTTCTCCCAGTGGCATCAACAATGGGGCACTATTCCTTCCACTGACACCAACGAATGGGTACTATTCTTTCCATTGGCACCAACAATGGGGTATTATTCCTTCCACTGACACCAACAGTGGGGTATTATTCCTTCCACTGACACCAACGATGGATCTGCTGATAGATTCCCTGCTGATTGCAAAGGAAACCACTCCATGTGAAAGGGACCCATGTGTTCAAAAATAAAATGGAGCATTATGGGCAAAAATTTTTTTTTTTAAGAAATAACCAGCACATGCAAATGCTTGAAGTGGAACTTTCTTCTCCCAAAAAATAAAACCTTATCACCTACCAGTTTGCAAACTTATTTAGAATATACTCTCCTCAACTTGGTGTACATTCTCAACACGCCTCAGTGCCAGGGTGATTTTAACTCTTGTGTACAGGTGCAGGAGGTAGATCATCCCTGGCTGGCCAATCAAGATAGCAAAAGATGCTAAAGCCAATGGACTGAGGAGCAAGTGAAGATGTTGCCACAGGCAGGGAAGCCCACTTTTTGTTCTGCTTCAGTAAAGTTCCTGTACCTTGATTTCCATCTGCGGATTACTTCCCTCTATCCTTTATGATGTACATAGGTGTAGGTGTGATGGGTGTGATCTACCTTGTACACATGTGGTCACCTCTAAGCTGACAATTAAATCCAGGAAGAAAAGGCCAGCTGAAAATATTGCATGTTGAAAACAGTTTCAAGGCTTGTAGAGAGGCAGGTTAGGGTGGGGAGTGGTTCAGGGGGCAACTGTGGTCATAGAGATGTGATTTGTCCATATAATTCTGTTCATTAAATTCCCTGTGGCCCAAGTACCACTTGCAGCCCTGTAGTGTATGTTGTGTTGCCCTTGGACAAGCAGTCCGTAGTGTGGACATTTTTAAAGAGGCTGTAATGGCAAATATCTCTAGCAGTCTATTGACTGTTGTAACTCCCTCCTCATTGGCCTACCTCATCGCAGGCTATCCCCTCTTCAGTCTATCATGAATGCTGCTGCCAGACTCATCCACCTTACTAACCATTCTGTATCTGCCATCCCTCTCTGCCAATCCCTCCACTCAGTGTCCTCCACCCCTCTCTGCCAATCCCCTCCACTGGCCTCCACTCAGTGTCCTCCACCCTCTCCACTGACCTCCAATCCCTCCATCCCTCTCTGCCTCCCTCCACTGGCCTCCACTCAGTGTCCTCCACCCCTCTCTGCCAATCCCCACTGGCCACTGGCCTCCACTCAGTGTCCTCCACCCCTCTTTGCCAATCCCTCCACTGGCCTCTCTGCACTCAGTGTCCACTCCACCCCCCCTCTCTGCCAATCCCTCCACTGGCCTCCACTCAGTGTCCTCCACCCCTCTCTGCCAATCCCTCCACTGGCTTCCCATTGCCCAACGGATAACATTCAAAACATTAACAATAACATATAAAGTCATTTATAACTTTGCCCCAAATTACATCTCCAAATATCACCCAAACTGTACTCTCCGCTCCTCCCATGACCTCCTGCTGTCTAGCTCCCTTGTCTCCTCCTCCCATGCTCATCTCCAGGACTTCTCCAGAGCCTCCCCCATCCTCTGGAACTCTTACCTCAATTTATCTGACTATCGCCTACTCTGCTCACTTTTAGGCGATCTCTGAAAACCGATCTCTTCAGGGAAGCCTATCCTGCCGTCATCTAATAATGGAATCTTCTACTCCTCCTACCAGTCCATCC